TAAGCCATAGGCAACTCACAGTTCGTTCACAACGGACATTCCGAATCTGACAGAAAATTGAATCATCTCCAATGACAAGGATTTGTTTCATCATTGCCTACCCATAGGTGGGGATCTAGCCGAATGAATAGCCCACGGCAATTAGGGCACCGAAACACTACACTATGATGTGGATAAATTCAACTTCGTCTCCGCGTATTCAATTATTCATGTACGTTCCGAATTTTTAAACGCTGCCAGCATAGCACAATCGTGAATATTACAGTGGTCAAACTGGATAATTATTTTTGCTCACAACAGTCCTGAAACCAACCTTAACCTACCCAGATAATGATTCAGGCATGGAATTGCCAGCACTAATCCCTTCTCCCAGCAGGACCCTGCCCTCATACCCGTTATTTTGAACTTTCATCCCTTGTTTTTCGGGGACAATAAAATATTTATTTTCCGATATTTTTTCGATGACATGGCATCTCGGAAAAATTTGCAGAAAAAGTAGAAACATATCAAACCTGTATAAACCTAACCAAAATTAAAATGAACTAACCTAACCTAAATTAACTTTCTAATAGAATTAGTGAATCTTGTAGACTGTGAATGTGAACAACTACCCTGAATCAACCTAACCTAACCTAACCTAATCTAACATCTAATTGAACATCCAACCAAACATCTAACATAAATTAACAATCTTTAAAAAAAATATTTTTTTAAAATCATTGACATATGGTTTCCTCATTTTAACATGCTTGATCCAGACAGTGGATGTCTCCAGAAAGCGAAGAATGAAAGGTCGCCGAGTGCTTTGAGAGCGCATGCGGGTAGAACTGGATTTCACTGGGTACTCGCGCATATTCCCCCAGAGGATTATGTTTAAAAAATGACAGTCTTTTGAAGTATTTGGCACTTTCTTGGCTACCTTTCTGATACGACATCAAATGCAACAGAGAGTCCACATCTTAAATAAAATTTGAACTCATCTGCAGCAACCATTAAATAAGGCGCAATAATAAATGCTCACACAATAAGTAAGCTAAGTATTTGTGCGCTTGGTAGTACAGCATGGTGGACGGACTTCTCGCCAGACATGCATCGGCATTCAGCAGCAGTGGCCCGTCTTCGGCATCAGACTGGAAATACATGAAGTATAGTCATGTTACAATCTAAGATGGTTCGTGTGAACTTTAAGAAAAAAAAAATGTGTATCCCATCAATTATGCTATCCCAGCACACGGCATGATGCAGTGCTCACATACCGTGGTGAATTCCAGAATATTAAATTCTGGCATTTTGATTTTTTTCGTACTGTATCAACCTTCTTATAAGTCCCTAACCAGCAGAAGCTTGAGCATATAATATTTTGTCTGTATTGAAGCTTATTGATTTTTTATTTTTCCATTTTGTTCCAGGATTACAATTACTACAGTACTGTACATTGTACTAGCTGGGAATAAGAATTTCCTTGCATATTTTGAGTAAGATGTATTAAAAACTAAAGATTTAGATGAAAGTGACTCAGTTAATCTGACACAGATTTTGCTGAAAGGCTGTAATTTTATCAGGAAACAGTATTTCGTAGAATTTTTTTGATTTTGCACAAAATTCACATGAGGGACATAATGTGGAACATACAATTCTCTTTGTAAGGTTGAGGATTTCTACAATACAGTACTGGGATAGTTGGAAAACCTTGCATCCCTTCCAGTAGGTGTACCAATGATTGTTGGTGCTTTAGACGGCAAGTTGTTCAGAGCCCCTCATCAGCTGCTGAGTGTGGATTGCGTAGTAAGGGCTCCACGCCCTCACTAGGGTCATCATACCAGTTGTTGTGTAACTATGTGTTAGAAACCTGTTGTGATAACCAGCCGCCCGGATGTCTACGAGGTCGCGCGCATGTCTATTAATGTGGCATTCCATTACGAAGCTCGCTGCTGCTCACATCGTCTCTGAACCTGTCTGTGTGTGTGATCACTGATCCATCCACGTAGCCTGTGCTGAATATATCTCTGTGTGCTGACGTCACGTCTACATTACTTCAACATTCCGTCACTGCTCACATCGTCTCTGAACCTGTCTGTGTGTGTGATCACTGATCCACGTAGCCTGTGCTGAATATATCTCTGTATGCTGACGTCACGTCTACATTACTTCAACATTCCGTCAGAAAACCTTATTGTACAGTATCTGTGCAGCTTTTTAAGCCCATCATGTTGTGTGGACGTGTCCTCATATTTTTCTAAATTGGTTCTAGAATTGTTTCCCCAATTGTTTTTTTCACAAATACAATGGTACTTAACTTGATTTAACAGCGCCAATAAGTCCACTGCTGTGATACTATTCTACTAACCTCTAGGTGTACATTGGGCAGAACCTTGAATTGCTCATACATCAGGCCCACCTTGAAGTGCCGTGATAAAGTAACATTTGATTTGAAGATATATGCGGAGTACGTCATCATTGATTCCATCACATGCCTGGAGAATATCTCTCGCAATTTTGGAGAAAAATTGAGATATGTTACTTTGAAGTATAAGCAGCACAAAAGAAAGCCAAAAGCATGCAGAAAATCTGCCCACTGCATATGAAGTGACATACTACATTATCAAAACGTGTCAATTCTCGCTTAATTGAAGATCAATACATGGGCAGATGTTGCAAGTCAGCTCTCTCTACAACAAGGTTCAAAAGGAAATATTCAAAATGAAGAGAATTTTGTTGTACCCCTGTAACATGGAAAAATAACCCCATAGGAACAAAAAAATTGTTTTAGACTGAAAATTGTCATAGACATAGAGAAACACCACCTGTATATGTCCAGAGTAGCACAAATAATTTATCTAAAGTATTCTAAAGAAATTGACTTTCCATGCACTCATATCTGAAATAGAGTCAACTATTCACAAAGATGGTGGCATCCTGAGCCCATAACATATGGATGAACATATTATGGAAAATATCCTAGCACCATGTAAATCTGTAAATTCTGTAATCCCTCTCAAATCAATGGTAACTTGAACAAACCTATCACAACCAAAATAGCCTAACCTTTGTGCGTTGCTTAACATATGAGCACATGGTGAATGCTGCTGAAGTTCTGCTGCATGGGGAGTGGACAGGCAGAATTTATATACCATCACTCAATCTATCCCTACTCCCTAGCTGCATATTTTCTCTCCGCATATCCACCAGTCAGAATAATAAAGTAATGTATACGTATGTTGTCTCATGGGAGCTCACTGGATTTCTCTGATATCTCAACCAGTGAACTGAGATAGCAGTCAGTCAATAAACTGCTATCTATGGGTTGTGCGATGAAGCATGCTTAATCCACTCTGCCCCTTCTTCTGAACGTACGTTCATCATTTGGATGGCAGTGTGTTCTTTTCCATCCCTTTGGCAAATAAGGATAATTTTCTGCACACAGGCACATTTTGATTTGACCGAACGTCAATGAAATGCACCTGATGGGTTGAATAAAGGCCTAATAAATTAGAAAAGATCTGGGAAGAGTAAATTATTTTGTTTTCAAAAATCTTGCAATGTTAATCCTACGCTATGATGCAGGGGATAATGCACCCAGCAGTGATGAATTGTTCTTTTTAGCCAAATTTTTTTGCTTGCAGAGAAAGAAATACATTATTCAGCTTTTGACAACTTGTGCATTGATTCTAAGTTCTGATTTAACAAACTTTTGCAAAAAATATCACGAATTTGCCGCAGAATGGTTAATAGAAGACATTCATTATACATGAAGCAGTGTTCTTTTTTTTTATGGTGAAACCAAATTCTGTTCAGCTTCGATTCTCTGTTTGTTGAACAAGCAGCAAGACTCAAATTCTTCTGAACAACCACAGTGGAACACATTATATTGAAATTCGACGGGCATCACTGTGCATAAATACAGTACTTACTCCAGTAAACCGCACATCCTGGTGTAAGACTGGACCTCAATTTTTTTTAGCAAACTTCGCTGTGTGCAATAATAAGAGCTGTAGTATAGTTTTCGTTGGCTGAAGCAGTATTTTTTTATTTATTTATAAAATTTTCATTTTTCACTGGAACTTATAATTAAATGATAGAACATATGGATCTTCAAACGACATTGGTGCCGAACAAAATGTAATATCCATTTCTCATCTGAGACTAACTCCTGACCAACACAAATATTTGATTTTTTCTTCGAAAACTCATACCAGCATCCCATGCGCACCCGCAAACAATTGAATGACTTTTTCCCAGAAAAAATTGCGCAAGGTATACTTTTTTTATTTACAATACACAGTAGCTTTAATTCATGATTGGCTCCCTTGCAATTGCAATCAAGTACAGTAGTGTACTATGTATATGTGGAAATTATGGATTGGATTACTTTGAATTTAATCTTTGTGTCACTTGGCATTTCTCATCTGAATGGTTCAGAGCTTTTATACCTTGAAATAAATGCAATAGAACACAGCTTTTCCTTATTTGAGCTGGTTGCTTATATGGTAATGTAATTGACATGGTGGTGGTATCATACTGTAATGCAGAATTGTTCATAAGAAAAATACAGTATGTTGAGGTTGCTATAGGTTCTTATTGACTTTGAATCTTCCAATCGTAGGGAAATGTATCAATGGTGCAAAATATTACATTTCAAATACTTCCTTCATTAATTTTTATGCAGTATTCTTCCATGTGATATACAGCATGGAGTAATACAATATTATTGTTGAACCTGCTTTTTCAAACCTCTCCATGTCAAATACCTCATCTGTAAGTCAGTTTTTTTTCAAGTCTCTAAATTCTCTCAGTGTAAATCAAAACAATGCATTAAAAATCTCCCTATCTCCAAATGCTTTCCTCCTGAAACCTCCACAATTTTCTGGAGGTTTTTGGACTATAATTTTATTGACACATTGAAAGAGAATGCAGCAAAAACAATGTAACTTGATACAGCTTCAATAAAGGAAATGAAAGACTACAATTGGGCAAATAAATGAACCCTTGCCTCAGCGCTGTTCCAACTCATTCAAGAAGCAGCAATTCTATAGGTCCAGAATATCACCAATTTCCCCCCCCCCCCGAATGTGTTTTAACCTTCTTAACCACATTTGTTTTGCTGGTCCCTTGAAGTTCTCGTGACTTGAAGATATTTGACTCTATCATTACTGCATATACTGCACATATTTTGTGGACTCTTCTGAAGAGCATTGATTAACTAGGGAATACGGAACATGTTTAGGCCCAGCACAAAGTATTATTGCATTGACTGGATCAATTTACTTACCATGCATTCAGCGGAGAGGTGCTTAACACAATACTGTACAAGTAAAAAAATTGAAAGATCAGTGAGCTTGCAAAGTCATATATACAGTATACCTCGTATGGCATATATATGTTCTTCATCCAGTCCAGAATTTCTGCAGAAAGAATATAGGTATGACAAAAAGTCGTGAGACTCCTGCTGCCTATATACTGTAATTCTGAAGGTCAACTAACTTGATACCCCAGGATTGAACACAGCTTTCAGTCTAGACTCGAAGGTGGCGCGAATTTTCGAAAATATTTTCACCGAATCCAATGCGATTACAAGCAATTTCAATCCAACAAGTTTCTGTGATTCACAGGAGTGCGATCTGAAACCCACCGTTAGAAAAGAAATAAATTCCGAATCCTTATCAAACTCTTACCTTTCATCAATCCAAAGCGGCTGAAGATTACTAAATCTTGTCCATCATGAACCAGGGGGGCACAACCGTGGTCGTCGTTGGAGGTGGTGATACTGGATGCCAACATGTGAGATGTTTTATTAACGGAACAGCTGGAAAAGACGATTAAAAATGTTAAAATATTGCTTTATTCCAAATTTTTCATCAGGTATTGAGGGATTCGTATACATGCTGCGGGATTTTATGCGCGATTATTTTCTTCCCCATCGGAATCCTATGCTGCTGCTGCTGGAAGGAGAGGAAATGCGTAAGATGTGGAGCTATGTATGGATGAATGTAAGTTCACACACTGTGTACAAAGAAACTTGCAGAACAGAAGAACCTTTTCCCGTCGTTGGGAAACCTGGAGTTTCTCTGAATTACATGAAGATGGCTCGAATGTGTTGTCCGTACACAGTATTGTACTAAGTTAATGCTGTGGGAATCGTCGAAACTGATACGGGATTAATACAGTATATGAGAAAATTTCCGAGCTGGCCTCCTTATATCTTTTTTCTTAGAAGTGATTTTTTCAAATCCTAAACGCGACATGATAGAAAGCTCGTGACAACATCATTCCCAGACGCTCCCGGGAAGTATTGTACTGTACTTGAACTATAAGCCACATCATGTGAAGACAGGTCTTCAGATTTCCAAGAACACTCCAGCATGTCGTGCGTAACGGATCATGTCTTAAACTTACCTGATCATCTTTACTGTTAAAAACATCCATGAACCATAACACTCCGATTATCTTCACAGTAAAACTGAAAATACTGATCAATATACACAATGATTTCACACTTTCAGCACAGGGAAATTTCCAAATTACTTCCATCATTTCAAAATTCATGCAATATAACTTAGATGGTATCATTATTGGGATGAAAAATAGATCAACAGAAGTTCACGAAAATTCCAAGGTAAGAAGAAAAAGTTTGCAAGCAGAAATGAGGCATTGGATGATGTTTTTGAAGAGAAAAAAAAACTGAAATGAACCCTCATTTTTTTAATTTTTAGCACCCTGTGAAATGGGTGGAGAACTATGACAGAAACTGGAAAGTCTTCACTTACGCAGTAAATCTAAAATTTGTAAAAAAAAATCCCAAAACATCACAATAGCATCGCTAAATCATAGACTGTTATATATACATATTTTTTTACAATGGCAGCTCCTATAAAAATAATCAAGGTGAACTGGAAGTGGGACAACCCTCTTCTATGGTACAAATTCTCACCTGGATATTCACTCCTGAAAACCTGAACACAGCCCGGTGCATGACGGAGAATTCTTCCGAAAGAACTACTGCAAAGAAACTGATCACTAATTCATTTCACTCAGAAAGCAAGAAATAAAATAAAAGCGCAGGCGTCATAAAACATTTGTAATTGCTGTGAGTGTTCGACAACTTCAAATAATAAAAAAAACAGCGTGAAAGAGGAAAAACAAGACTCAAGGGGAAACAAAAACTGAACACGGCGGAGATACTTTTTTTTTTCCTTCCAGCAAGAAAACGACGTAAACACCACTCAGCATACAAAACGACTTCAGTCGCCACGGATTTGTTTCTCCAGTAAATTTCCACACGTTTACAGGATTCCTTCCATTTCTTTCATGAACTGCAGGTAAGCATCGTCTTTCGACTTCTGAGCAGCAGTTTTGGTGGCGTGTAGATCCGGTCCGATAGAAGCTATAAAGGCAGTAAGAATACTTAATTTCACGAAAGTGAAAATAGGTGATTTTTTTTTTACACGAAAAAATGTTTCTCAGGATTATAAGGCACTTCGGAGTTTTGAGTAACGAAACACGAAAAAAAGGAGGGCTTGAAAAATTGTAAGCTCCGAATGAGGTTCTCTCCACTTCAACGCCAGAAGTCAACGACTCCGCGATTCGGCACAATTTTCGTTCAACAATTTGTCACGTTGAATTTGGTCAGAAGTAAACAGTTTCTCGATTTATTTTCTTTTAAACAAGGCCAATTTTTACTTTGAATTTTCACGGCAAAGCCTTTTTGGCCAACTCCAGGCCTTGCAAATACATTTTCGGCTAAATAGTTTGAAGTAGTGTACTGTGCGGCATCTTTCTTGATGATCTTCAGTAACGGACATGGTGCGTTAGTGATTCCTTATTCTGGGCCGTTCCCACAATTATTCGTTTTAACTCAACTTTCCTTGTACAAAAATTCCCTCGAGCAGCCGTGAGCACTCGTTCGGAAATTCTGGTGCACGTTTTTTCTTAAAATTTTTCTGTAGACGACATTACTGATTGTACAGTACTGTACTGTACTTCGAATCGGTAAAATTCACCGATATGTACGCGATTCCAGCGACACCTATCCGTCATGGTAAGACTAACAGTTGAATTAACATCAGCGGATGATGCCACTTACGCTTCTGAGGCCCGACAATGCCCTTCTTGAATTTCTCGTCTCGCTTCACTCTCACGGCAACCGGGACTAATCTCGTCACTTCTGCACTCATATTCCTGTCGGAAAAAGAAGACAAATAAGTCGTTACGTACAAAATAGTAATAGACAGCTACAGAAAAAAAAAACAATCATGGTTATTGAACTGTGAAACCGAGATTGAAAAACGTTTCCGCTAGATTTTCACCTCCCCCTTTAAATAGCTTTCTTAAATTTTTCTTTTCTATGCGAATTATATTTGATTTATTTTCCGTCATGAATCCTTCACTTTTCGGCAGTCTTCACAAATTTGCCCTTTCAAATGGCTGCCTGAAATCCGGTTTTTTTCTGGCATTGTATTAATTCAGTGATCTTGTCTAACATAAGATTTCAAGAAGTACGGTATCGTACTCGTAGTTACTTTCTCCTCTCGTAGATGTAGACAAGGAATGACTTCCCTGAGATAAACTGGAGTCCACTTCCTGCTGCGATTCTCAAAATTTCCGCAACAGTTTATCTGAGATTTAGCTTTTAAATTTTAAAATCGTGTTCGTGTGCACTGCACATCGGAAAAACCTCTTACCTAATAACAGGCTTCACTTCTAGAGTGGCGCCCACCTGTCGCCTCGTGGGCGCCACAGGCTTCGTTCCGTCTCCAGCGAGATCTGCCTCAGGTTGTTGCCGAGATGGAGCCGAAGCAGCAGCAGCCGCTTCCATTGGCCGTCTGTTAATTTGCGGCCCAGCAGATGCCACCACTGCACCAGGTGGAGGACCCTTGGGCATCGGGGCCGTGAGTCGTGGCGGCATTCCTGGTGGCGGCGGCGGAGGACGCATCATCCGCATCGGACCCATCGGCCTGTGCGACCCGGGAGGAGGTGGTGGCGGCGGACCTGCCGGCATTCGCATTCCCATCGGCGGTGGCGGCGGCGGACGGGGTTGCATCGGATGGTGGTACATCATCGGCGGCATTGCCATATGCGGAACTGTGGAAGACACATTCAAATATTCTGTCAACGAACGGAAGTTAAGCAATTCTTTTCGAAACAAAACAGTACCAGATTTTAAAAATTTGGATGAAATCAACCCCGAAGAAAGACGCACGCACCCCATTTAAGTGACAGTGATGTTAAAGAATTTTAGATACATTTTTTCAAATCGACGATAGACCTTCTTTACATGAATTTCAAGCACGTTCCGACTAAAATTCACATCCAAATAAACCTGACCAGGTCCAAATGAACATTTACAACACATTAGCCAATGCCGGTTCTGAATAATCTTAGTTGGAACAGGCGCAACATGAACTCTCATTCTGTCACGAATCATCTTCTCGACAAGAGCCTGTGTCACTAACATCCCTCACACAATGAAAATGTCACAAAATTTAGCTAAAAGCAGCCAGTCCTACCATTGGGCGGAGGTCCTGGAGGCGGTGGTGGAGGCGGAGGAACCATTCTTTTTGATGGTTCTGCCGGGGTAGGCGCAGTCTCCGTCACGGTACCATCTTTCAACCGCGCCTCTTTTTTCGCCTCCTTCTCCTTGTGAACGACTTCCAGCTTTTGTCAAAAAAGAAAAGAAAAAAGAGTGAGTTTCACGAAGTCTTAGTTTTTTCCATGAATTATCTAAAACCTACTCGCAACTGTTTTCTTCAACAGCTGCATTCCCGGCCACATTTTTTTTTCGAATTAATTAATTTTTTCAATTTTTCGCACTGTTCATCGTGAAAATCGCGGAAAAAATGTTCAACAAAAAAATCTCGAAGCCACTTTCGCATCACACCTCTTTCATAAAATCGTCAATGTCCTGTCCAGCCATGGCAAGCATCTTCTGTTGCACAGACGAGAGAACTTCCGGCCGTTGCTTCTCGTCATCACGACGTCGTCGACGATCCTCTTCGTCACTACTCGAAGCTCGATCTTCGCCTCCATCTTCGCGCTTCGAACGCCTCGGATCCCTCGAGTCGTCTTCTTCAAACCGGACTGAACGCTTCCGTTTCCGGTCGTCTCGGTCACGATCCCGATCTCTTTCTCTATCGCGGTCTCTGTCCCTGTCTCGATCACGGTCTCGTTCTCTGTCCCTGTCACGTTCCCGGCTTCTGCTTCGCGATCTCGACCGGCTTCGTCGTTTCCTGTCTCGTCTTCGGGATCGATCCCCGTCCTCATCGCGAACTGAACGAAAATAAAATTGGATCAGTTAGAATGATAAAATCGTGCTTTGCTCAGCAAAATGTACCCCATCCAACTGAAGTCTTACGCAAAATATGTGAACTGAATAATTTAAAGTTATAATTGTGTGTATACTTTGTTAGACCAGAAACAAAATGGAAAATAAATTAGTAAGCTAACAAATTTTTGGATGATTTTGATCCGGTTGCTTCCTTGAAATCAGCGAAATTTTTCTGTTCAATCATGTTTCAAAAAGTGAAAAATCTCGATCGCATCACGCAAAGGCAGATGCTGAATGTCTCAACAAAACTAACTCAAACCACTATGAATATTCAATCATTTCCTGATCATTCGATTATATTCGAACTACAGATTTTCGAAGGAAACCGGGTTCCTCGGGGGTCTCGAAGCACAATTTAAAACGTCTCGTGAAGGCCCCTTCGTTTATTTTCTCACTTTCTGATAGTCTTCCAGCGTAACGCAAGTCACAAATGAAAACCGAAAACCTGAAAACCAATTCAACGGAATGATTTCCCATGGGATTGAATTACCTCGACTGCGGTTTTTCGAAAAATCTATTTCTGCTTCGAATCCTGGTACAACCACTTCGTCTCTGCCACGCCTTCTGTCATTCTGTTCCGTTTCTTCGTCGCTCTCGAAGTCACTCAAACTCGGAGGTGGTCCGGGAGGTACACCGGGTACTTCAATCCTGTAGCGAAAAAATATACACGAAAAACGTACAAAAAAAGATTTTGAAAGGCACTCGGCATTCAAACCAGGGCCTTCTAACATTATCCTGAGCTTTAGAATTTTGCAAGAAAATGCCAGAAAAATGTCTCTAAATTTAAATCCGCAGATGCGAAGAATACGGTATTCAAAAGCGCAAGATCACAGGGGATCTCGGTTTTTACACGAGCTACATGTAAATTTTGGCTCTTCAGCACCATGCTTGGGAATTATAAATAATGAAAAAAAGTTCTTCATGGAAGACGTCCAGTCAAATTTCTCGAAGAACAAGCAGAAGAAACCCCGCGCTTGTGAAACGTAATGGTAACGAAATCATCAAATGATTACTCTACTAAATGGTGAAGAAGAACAAACGCCGCATTTTGTCAACCCATTATTACACGATATGTGGAAGTAAAAATTCTTTAACCCACGGAACAGGTTTCTTCAAGATCCCGGGCACAGCTGATGACATCAAAACTCCAGGAGGTGGTGGCGGAAGCGGCGGTTCTCCCGGGGGCCGCAAATCGAAATTCCGAGGCGGCAGTGGAATCTGGGCAGGCAAAGGCAGCGGCATTTGCTGCAACGGCTGTTGCAGTTGCATAGGAGGAAGCATCTGGGACGCCGCCGCTGGGGCAGGTGTCCCAGGGAGTAAGCCTGTCGTCGCCGTGGGCAAAGGAATCTCGTCGACGGACACTTGCTGCGCCGACATCACCGACTCGTAGAACTCCACCAACTTGGACCGACGGTTATTGTAGTCGGCTTCTCGGCGGCGCAGCTCGACCCATTTCTCATTATCTTCTCGCTCCTGAAGACATAAAAAATTATCATTAGTCCGTTTGAGAGGCGCAGTACTTTTTTTTTTTAATACAAGGGTACAAGGGAAAACGGAAGCCTGCAAAATTGAATTTTTCGTACAAAGGACTCGGACTGTCAGCATAATTTTGACACTTCTCTTGATTCGGTTTGTTTCCTAGTTTCCGAGTGCTTTTGCAGTTCTGAGTTCTTTCACACTGAATATGTACTCATTTCATTGAATATTTCAATATTTATGAAAAAAAATTCGAAGGGATATGAAATCAATCAGGTGATTAATTATGCAGTACAATAGCTTCAAATTACGGTACTGTACTGTACTCGTTTGAGGGACTTCTCGTGGGTTGGGAATTGACTAGGAATTCCATGCAGCGTAACTTCACCATTGCTTATTAAATACTGTACAGTGTAGTTCAAGAATAGAACAGATGGATTCCATTATTCGACGCAAAAATATTTTTGTTTTCACGCGAAACTCACATACAGCATCGGACTGCACTCAGGAAAAAAAACCTCTCAAATTTGAGTTCGCCCAATATCATTTTTTCGCTCACAAATTTTGAAAATTTTATTTTTGAAGTGAGCCGGATTAACATACACGATGTACTACAGAACAAACAATAAAAAAGCGCAAAAACTAAATTTCAGCCTATATAAAAAATTTGAAATGCCAAGAAACAGGGGGTTCGAACATTTTTCTCACAAAATCGTTTCCTGATTCAGGGTACCTTAAAAGGGGGAAATAGTCATGGAAAAATCATTGAACAACCTAGAACTCAATTATAAAAAAAAAGGAAATCATGCTCACATAAAGCTTCAGAACGCGATCCAGCGTCTCCCGCAGTTTCTTGCGCTTCTCCTTCAAAACTTTCTCATTCAATGGAGCCGGTTGATTCACGCTGAATTCTTATGAGGAAAAACATCAACGCATTTTGTACGAGAAGTGATCATTTCCTTTCGAAAATGCAGACCTTACCCATTTTATCAATTTCTTCCAGATCATTCAAAATCTGGAACGGGTCCTTGTTCTTCAACACAGCGGCTCGGACCATCATCCGCTGCTTCTTATTCTTTTTCAGCTCCCGCTTTCGAGCTTCTTTGCCTGTATGATAATAAAAAACAAAACAGAACAAGGTGGATGATAAAACGAAAAAAGCGCATTCAAAAATTTTTCTTTCGAGCAGAAATTAAACTAAAAAAACATATTAAAATTCACGGTTTTACCAAGGTAAAAACCATTCTTTTCGTCACTTGAAAATCTCGGCAACAGTGAAAAGACGACGAAGAATATCAAGATATCAACGCACATTTCCACGGGGTAATTTTAGAAAATTAAAATAAGAGAGAATCAGTACAGATGATGCCATATCAGACCCGAGATAAAAAAAAAAAGAAGAAATCTGTGAAGATAAATTTGCACAATCACTTTTCGCGACGCTTGTTCAACGCGAATCGTTTCGGTAACCCATTATGAAATACAAAAATACGACAGGCTCCCTGCACAAAAATTTTCAAGAAGAGAGGACGGGAATAATTTTCACTCACGAGCTTGATCCGTGGGATTCATGTATTTCCCACTTTTCGTGGTGTTGATCGACCTGCGACCCATGGTGAGAGTTTAATCGAGGATCAAACTCGAATTTCACACCTCACACTTTCTTCTGAAACTGAAAATGTCCTGTAAATTCTTCTAATTTTGGGCAAAAAACAAGAAGACTCCATGAAATCCGGTCAACACGAAAATTATCTCACGACGAGGTTCTTTAGCTGGCTTTCCTGATATGAAATTGATTCGGCCAGGAAAATAATTGTCGACGAGCGGAAGAACACGGAATACTCGACTTCCGCACAAAGAGTGTTAAATTTAACTAAAACGTGTCAAAAATTTCGTGTCGACGGAACTTCGAGCAAAAAAAATCGACAAAGCCGGAAGAAAGACAAGCAGCCTCCTCGGCAAATCCACGAAGTGTTTTATCTTCACGAACCCGCTCACAGCGGTTATAACACAGTCGCCTACACAATAAAGACAAAGTATATGAACATCCTGGAGGAATGGCAGCGGGTCTCACAACGACTTCGGCCCCAAGAAGTAGTCTTGGCAATAGGATCTTTCCACGCCAACATCAGTATTTCCTTTCGAAGAAGAACTTCAAAAAAGTCTCGAAATTCAAGGATACACTTTTTTCACTTCGGACGATCAACTCACAGCGTGAAACTGGGTCTGAAGATTTTACGAATAATTTGAACTAAAATTTCGGAATTGAAGAACTCTTTCATACCCTTTCCAGATAGAAATTTCCTTCCAACCCCGAAAAAATAAGTACTGTACTGCAAACTGTGCTCAGATAGGTACAGTATTAGAAAAAAAGACCATCAAAAGAAAATTCATAAAACATAAAATCAAACATAAAATTCATCAAACAGAAATCAGCGTGAGCTAACGAGCATTCTTTTTCAATTGGAAAGAAATTCTTGAACCAAGTAAAATCATGATCAGTGATTTATCGCGTTCCCTTCACGCGGAAGAATTCCCAGTTTACCGAACGAAATTTCGTCCCACTTTCAAATCGTAGTTTTCCTCACAATACATTAAAACACGAACATCCGAAGATTTCAAGGAGGAAAAAATAGAATACTGTGAATAGCGAGACCAGCAATTTCTATTACTGGAGTCGACTGTTACTGATAACTAAATTTTAGCCGCCGTTTTGAAGGGATCATAAGCAAATAAAATCAACGCGAGTACAAATGCACATTGATAGAACAAAAATAATTTGAACAGCTACATTTAATTTGAACAGCTAAAGGAAATCTGAAATTTCATCGAACTCATGCATGCAAACAGCTGACGACGATACAAAACTACGGCAAAAGGAAACTCTACAATGATTCGTCACGGCCCACAATACCTTTCCGATAATCTACTGCTAAATATTGCGGCAAACCGAACTGTATTAAGTCAAAAGGGGAGAGAAAAATACTGATGGACGCGAGAAAGCATAGGAATCACCAGGGAACCGCTTCACAAGCAACAGCTCATCACACGGAGAACTTCGTCGCACACAACGGACCTTTAGCTCCACTTTTTGCCGGATCACAAACAAACTCCGCGGCAAAGCGTATCTTTACGTGAATCAAATGTATTTTCTTGATTTCTTCCATTTCTCGTCTCTCGCTAGAATTTTTGAGAGCGAACGTTTCTCGAATAAAAACACAGCAAGGGAGGTTTTTCGGGAAGCTTCTCCCTATAGCTTCACCCGGAAGACAGCCAACATACATATCCTAGACACTCAGATCCTTCCAATATTAATAATTCTAGCATATCGGCCAGATGTCATTCGGGAGTCAAGAACCGCTTGTGGTAGAACAGCAGGTAACTGAAATGCAAATACAAGCATAAACAGAATCAATAAACACGAAAATTAAAATTCTAATCATCGAAATTAGCTAAGATATAATTCGTCGATTTAAACACCAAGATTACGTAGCCATACGATTTCTGTTGAAACCTAACAACGAAAAGCTTAGAAGTTTATTGCTTCTGAATATTTTTCTCTGAAACTTTTCGAGAATTTAATCTCAAAATGTTCCCCGAGTCAAGTTTCATTTATTTTCTGAAATCATCTTGAGGCTAAAATCTACTGTACGCGAATTTGTTGGTCAAATATCTGCCTCATTCCTCCTGGTGATTCTCACATCAAGAATCTCCGTCCATGATGATTTAATACATTTAAAAAAACTTCGTAGTCTGAAGCTACTCACCCCTCGGACTTGAGAACATCCGCCAACTTGGCCTTGGTTATCTGATCGTCATCGCACTTGAACCAATCATTAGTTTGGTGGCGAACGTAGGAAATGTAGTGGCCGCTGCTAATCACTCCGATGTGATTGATCACAGCAAACAATGAATACCTTCCACGACAAACGAAATCATATTGTATACGCCGATAATAAAATGCTGAGCAAAAAAATACGACAATCAACTGCAGAGGAAAAAGGTGAATCCAAGAACGCTTGGACACGATAGAAATTGTTTTTTTTTTCACCAAATTCATAATGACCGTTCTTTTACTGATTTCCAAGAAATAATTTCCGTTATTTCTCGAAATTATTTTGTACGTCCGAGTGGAGTACTGCACTGCAAGGACAGCTGTGAATCTCTTCCGCACGAACATTATAAAAAAATCTGAATAATTCTCGAACAAAAGACCTTTAACCCCCGCCCCCCGGGATGAGAATATTTTTACGAGAAATAAATTCTCATCCCAGATGATTTAAAACGAAAATTCCGAATCGAAAAAAAAATTCCAACTTTCCAGAATTCTAGCGAACCTTAGAATATTTTTTTCAATCGGAATCTGAATGGATCTCACGCCATTGTTGGGCAACGGGATGGGTCATGAAGCCACAAATACAATTAGATGCAAATATAAGAATGGAAACTTACACATTTTCACCATATGAGATCTCGGAAGAGTTTTCGGTACCGGAGTTGGAGCACGAACGACGCGAGGACACAAAAGGCGTCATATCCAAATGCTCCGGAAAGGAAATGTGCGTCGAGATCTTGGTCTGATTCTTCACTGAATGTTCGAATCGCTTGAGGTGAAACGATGCTACAAATGGCAGCGTTTTCATAGTAAGTTGCTTCGTCGACTCCTGCGCACTGCCACACGCCCGACAATTGATCTTCGCCGCAGTGCCCAAATGCTCGGGCCGCGTGAATCTTTCCAGACACTCGATCAACGTTTTCGGGGTAGAATCCACGTCTGACCCGATATCAAGCGAGATATCCCAGAAAGGATCGATTGTAGTTGAAACATTCCTACATAATGGAAAAAAAATCAAGAATTTTCTTCAAGATACCAATCATGGCCTTTCAACTGCCGAGGTTTTTAACTAATGATCCCCGATATTTTCTACGATTAAAGGTACGCTTTTTTATTAGCGGCGAATTCATCCAAGAGTAAGAAAAATCTCACTTCTATAACGTGAAAGACAACGCAAATAGCTCGGTTGATTAACTCGGACGAGGGAATCAGAAACCCCATACACGACGTGTAGTACTTTTAATCAATCGAAAGGACACAAAGCGGGCTGTATCATCATCATCATCTTCTGATCAGGATAAAAGTAGGATCACGTCAAATCAAAATACAGTAATTGAAGCATTCCACGCTACGGAAATGCTGAAAATTAAAAATACTGTACAAGTAAATCATCAATGCATTAATTTTTTTCATACAGTAAAATCTTGCAACAAAACAATTTTCAAGTAAAAAAAAATTTTGTAGGTCCCGACAGGAAGTTCATGTGGAAAAGTCTGAAATGTCTGATCCCATGTGTGACTGATCCGTTCTTAAAGCATGGATAGAAGCTATGATCAATGACAAACCTGCTTCCAAGTTCCAAATCATATTCCCAGAATGAAGAGCTTTGCGCAACTCATGGACTGTACGACTGAATTTAATTTATTTCCAGAAATTCATTCAGTTTTGCAAAAACAGAACAAATCTGAGAAAGCCAGAAACGCAATATCTAATTGATTTTTTGGCAGGTCTGATGTAAAAATATTTTCCAGCCATGAATTTTGAAAAACGAATTACAGTTTTCAGTTCAACAAACTTTTTACGAAATCCACAGAAGTTTGTTGTCATGAGATTTTATTATTTTTGATTATCCGGTAAAAGGCAAACGTCATTCCGAAAAATCGCCATAAAATTTTCGCAAGATAAAAAAAAAAACCAACGTACTGGCACTTCAAACAGACGACGTCGGATTGGAGTCCACCGGTAAAAATTCTGTCTATGATGCAAGTGCACTGGCCATGATTTTGACGAGACGAAGCACCATCGACACCGTCACAGTGTCGATGCATGACGTCTAGAGCAGCAATGAAGAACTCGTGAGCGTCTTGCTGCTCGTAGCCCGCCAAATGTTTCGCCTGCGTCCAGACTAGATGCAACATTCTCGCAAGCACCAATGGCTGCTTCGACCCGGAGAAAAACTAGCAAGGAGTTGAAAGGAAAGAGAGACGGCAATTAACGGCTGTACCACATTGACACAATCAGGCCCTTGTCTGAAGAAGAAAACTTACTTCCTGAAATAACTTGGCAACTTCACAAACGATGCATTGTTTCCTGACTTTTCCGTAGCAGAAATGTTGATCGGACAAAAAGTATTCACTCAGGATCGGCGTGTGGATCAGCGCCTGAATGATGCAGTTCATAAAACACGTACTTCCTAAGTTGATGAGCCCTCGCAGCCCTGCAGCAGACATTCAATTACATCATTAATCTTTACGCCTCTCCGAATAGTTTCCTATTTTTTCTGTAACAGTCGATGAAAAACTTCCGGGTGCAAGTGGAACGAAATACAGGGGGCTTAACACATTCTATAACAATCCCCGAAAATCGGTAATATACCATATTTACTCAAGTACTCAAGCTCACCTTTTTCTGAAAATTTAGAAAAATAAAGGGGGTGCACGTCATATGCGGGCATACATTTTTCAAAAAGTTCTAGAAGTTAAAGTGTGCATTATTTATTATTCTAATGTGGAATTTTTGACCAATGTGAAAAGAAAAAACTTACTGTATTGGAATTAATTCAAAATTAGTAGAATTCAGGTTCAAATCATGACTCAATTCAAAATTCAAATTTGGGTGTTCTTATTTTTGAAATATTGTGGTTTTAGAGTCTCTACAAAAGGGGTGCGTGTCTTACTCAGGGATACAAATCCACCAAAATTTTAAAATGAAAAAAACCCTGGTGCGCATCTTATTAATTCTCAGATGATGGACTTCACCGGATCAAGTCTATTAACCGAAGCACGACTAAATCCGCACAGAAAAAAAAAAGATTATCAAAGCATTCATTACAAACCGTAGGTACAATTCTTGGTAATGCGCCTCCGCTTGTTATGGTATGCCATGTAATTGATCTGACCATTCTCCGCACTCGCGCCCAAGTTGAGCACGAAGTACGAAGAGTCAGCAGACGCAGAAGACGACGAAGATGCAGACGGAGGACCGTTGTTATCGTCGTACTCGCGTTTCGCCACGCTGTTGAGCACTAGACTGTTGTTGTTGTCGGAAGTGGACGTTCGAGTTTGAGCCGATGCGTCAACGGTGAGCGCGACCGAAGGAGAAAGAACAGACAGAGCAGATAGCTTCCGTTTCCGGTATACCCGCAGCATTTCATCCCGCTTCGGTTCATACACGTAGTCCTCGCATAGGGCGCAGTAGATCGGACCGTAGCTGAACTCCAGAGCTGTCAAAACAAAATGAAACCTTCTCATCAGTTCAGAACAGGACTTTTCAACAGTCGGTATACAGGCCAGGTGGTTTGCGGTATTATGAAAGCTTGGATAACGTGTTAACTCAAGTACTACTCGCACTAGTGTTTTTTCTGTCAAACTTTCTGATGAAATTACCGGTATACCCCTGAGTAAGTCGCACAACCCATTTTTAGTGACTCTAAAACCACAATACAGCACTGTATTTAAAAAAGGAACACCCAAATTTGAATTAAGACACGATTTGAACCTGAATTCTACTAATTTTCAATTTTAAAAAATTACATTAGTTTCTCTGCTAAACTTGGTCCAATATTTCCCAATAGAATGAAATATAATTCATGCCTAAATTTCTTAAAAAATGTACACCCAGTTATGGCACAAACACCATTTTTTCTTCAGCAATGCGAGGAAAAATGCGTGTGTGGTACGCGAGTAAATATGGGATCTTCAGCAATGAATTTGAATTTTCCCTCTTCATAGCCTCCAGGGCTCTACAGCTGCTGCAGAGAGATACAAAAACTTAAATACTGTACTTAAGAAACCACAGAACTTTTTCAAGAATTTCAGATTCTTTCCACTGCGATGCAACCTTGCATTTTGGAATCTGAAACTGTGGCTCGAAATCATCCATAAAGCACTGAGGTACACACGAGCCTAGAAATAAATTTACTAACCCAAGAAAAATGCCACAATCCACCAGGGACCAACAAAATTCAGGCGAAAACTAAACAATTGAAACGCATAACACTGATATAGCTTTGATATTTCTTCTTCCTTCGGCTTCATATCAAGATTTAAATTTCACAAAATAACGATCTTAGAAATTTAAAAAAGGCAGCAAACATTTCGGTGAAATTTCAGCGATTCAAATCAATCAAATGTAGCCGCATTATTTGGCAAAAAAGGTTTACAATGACTCGGAAGAAATTTTCCTTAAATGCTCTATTAGGGCCCCATCGCATCTCTAACTGCGTAATGAAATTCTGGACAATTCACTTTTTCTGAATCTTCACAGTTTTTGATGGCCATCAAATCCACCATAAGAACGAAAATGTACGACGAAATGGTCTTTTCCACAGCAATTCGTCACAAATCTGAAACCCTAAATACTTTCGAAAGACTACTCACCGAAGTCATGGGAAGACTGCTTAAGATGACTCTGTATGTGTCGGTTAGCAGAGCAAGCGATGTATGAGCAATGTAAACATACATGGAGTCGGCCCATCATCTCCGTGCAGGTCTGACATTTCGTCTGAACAAACCACAATTCCGAATAAAATTCATTCCGGGTATGAAACCAACTCGAGAAAAACTCACGTTCGTCCGAAAATCTTTACTGGAATCGTATTCTCCTTCCCCGGGCTGCCGAACTGCGTAAATGACATTGTAAAATTCTGACAATCGTTCTTCACTCAAATTCTTAATATGCGGACATTTCTGTATTGACATCTGAATAAAAAAAACGTATAAATAAAATTAGATTCATCCACGCTAAAGGCAGTTAATTCCGGCCCGAAATTAGAAAATTGAAACTGGAATAATCGATCGCAGTCCCGCTTGTTCAATTCATCTACCGCATTCAGAAAAGGGGATAAAAACGCGACAGGAAGCTCTAGTCAAAACAGTACAACTCACTCACAGCACACAAGAAAAAAATGCAGAAAGCGAACAATGCAAAACAAAAATGGAACAACTACCATGAAAAGCACTTCATAAATATTACGACAACGGATGATTTCTCTTCTGATTGTCGCAATCGAATAATCTCTTGAAGTTTTCCTCGGATGCTGAAGCAGAAATCATAAAATTCGGTGTTCTTACACACGTCGATCAAAGAAACGGAACACTTGAGCCGAGAAGTTCATTCGCTGGGCGCAGAATTGACGATTGAGCATCACAAGCCGGAGGAATCGATAAGGTATACATCTTATTTAAAAACATAAGCTGGAAAACAATGAATAGCCACTCACTCCTGCACATGCAGTCACTAAGTCGAAAACTTCCAAGCGATCAGAAGCGATATTTCTCTCAAAAAATATGGAGTGAAAGAAGCTGAAAAACAAATTTTGCAGGCACGCTTCGTTCGTGACGAGAAAACACTCATCGCAAGTCCCCCCCACATTAACAACCAGATTCCCGAAAGACGTTTCAGAAACGGGGCTCTTCGTTCAGAGTAGCACCGAAAGTGTCACCTGGAAAAGACAAGCAAGGCCACCATTTGGCAGACGGATTCGGCATCTGAATGACCGCGAAGTCGCGGGTGGAAAGAGAAACTGATTTATCTGCGAAACGAAATCGGGGTTGTTTCTTCGGAAGGAATTATTTCCAGTCTTTCTTGATCTCGAAGGACCACTCCCACTTGAGGTGCTCGTTGTTGTCGTCATCCGTGAATAGCGACTTTACGGTGTAGTGACCACGAGCCACCATGCCGGATGGGGCTTCTTCGCCCGGTGTCGTGAAGGAATGCATTTCCAGACTCGGTGCATAACTACCCACCATCTGCTTCATCTTGTCAACTGTATCACACATCAATCAATCACTCGAACACTGAGACAAACACATGCTACTAACCCTGTATGCCTTTCCGATAGGTTTTCTGTACGTACTTCAACCCGTGAACAATTTCTCTTTGCACGTTAAAGTCGATCCGGATCTTGTAGTGAACTCCTTCCTTAATGCATTGTGTCTGTGTCAGGGAAGTTCGTATACAAATGAGTACTAATCAATAAGTGGATTTAACAAAGAATCCAACCTGCTCCTTTAGCTTCGAAATATCTCCAGAAAGGTCCAACTCCATGTCATTTCTCCCTTCCACGAGAAGTGCGAGCTTCTTCACGAGGACTTTTCGAGGGTCTTCCGGTTCTGTAAAAAATGTAGTAAGCATCTGCAGACGCCAAGGGTTACATGTCACACATACCGAGAATGATTTTCTCTTGAGTAGCCTTTCCTAGGAGAGCTTCTTTATACTTCTTCAATGATTCGTCATTTGTATCCTGCTGGAGCATTTCATCGATAGATTTCTCCGGCGGTGGCTTATAAAGTGCATCAACGTCGACTTCATGCTCTTCCTCGCGGTGATCTCCGGCGTCGGCTCCTGACATACTGCTGACTTTTACTTCACACTTCTATTCAGTATTCGGGAAGGCTTTTCAACGAAAAATCCGAGTAAGCTTCAAAGGACATTGAGAAAAGACGATAGAACGATCATTCAAGCACATCTAACGTAAAACAACACAGCGTTAGAAATGAGCACTGAGGTATGACACTGTAGGCGTCCAGTTATCACGAATTGATACTTGAGGAAATGCCTGAACCAATGCGATAATGTACCACGACACATTTTAAAAAGAAAGTTTTAAAATTAGCTTCATTTCGACACTCAAGCCTTCGAACGCATTCAATCAAAAATAGTTTCTACCGCGACTTTACTTCGATGACCCCAAAATTCAATTTAAGATCACCTCATGTAAACAAACGCATCAATTGCCGGCGAAAACACGCGGAACGCTTCTGCCTTTTTTGTTGATTTTTCCACGTGTACTCCGCTGAACACAGGGAATTCGTGAGCCGCTAATGCAAGGCGCCATGTCTACGATCATATGTTTAGGAACGAGTGAACAGCATCGACTATGCACAGTTAAATTCTGGCGCGCAGTCCTCGTTTTCTGGTCCAATTTCTTTTATTGCACTGCACTTCGCTAATATACAGTACTTCCCTGTATAATTTCCAACAATGCAGAATTTGGAAACTAATAATAAGATGAGGAAGTCAACTGAAGCATTTCCCCTATTTAATCATAGAAAGCAGGCTACATGTGCATGATGCAGTAATTTATATTCATTATTGATTCTCCCCTTAACGCGGGAGCCCGATTTTCCCCACGCATGCATCAGTGGTCAAAGTATTCAAGAAGATATTTTTGAATTTCATGGCATTCCAAAATTCTTCCTCAGCTCATAAAATACAGCATTACTATTTAAGCTGATGCATATGCTATTGTTTTGACGTGCAGATATTGAGATATTTGTTATTTGAGGCCGCTGACAGCATATGCTCCGTATACATGCGTCATAATGCATCGATGTGCTGGAGATGAAAAGGTGAGGATTTGAAACTATATTTTTGGAAGCTAGAAAGTTTATTCAGTGGTGAAGTGCTTTGCATAAGGCGTCCAAGCTGACATAAATGTTGTTTTTTTGCTCAGCGCACTTATTTTGTGCTCGCCATCCATATACTTCATACCGCCGATATTTGCATGCATAAATTATTCCCCTGCGACAGCTGCTGTTTCAAGATTTGCTGTTGATCGACGAAGTTCATCGTCTGCGTTGCAAATTTGCATATATATGGGGAGTAGAAAGATTTGCACACATTATATATTCCTCAACAGCATATGGAAGCTTCGAAGTCGAATATGGAGAAGTTACACGAGTCTACCGATCAAGCCTACTTAAATGTCTGTAAATTAAGTGCAGAAAATTATGTTTTTTTCGAGACAGACTCGTGGAACTTCGGGAAATAAATCAGGAATAATATACCGCGGCGGTAACCCTGCTGCACTAACATATATAATATTTTGAATGTAATTGTCTTTAAATAACTAAATTAGTTTAAATCTCTAATACCTGCATATGCTTAATAATTATATACATCGTTACACTAGAATTTGTATATCCGCGTGCAAAGTAGGTAATTTATGATAACGCATGCTGTGATGTACCTCCAGAAGCCTTTATAGGATAGGGCAAAACAAAATGTTATGTTATATACACGATTAGCATGATTGTTTCGATGAAAAATAGTTCAAATTTTATAAAAGATAGCTGCAAATAATCTACCACATACGATTTGACGAGGTATGCGTATGAGCAGCACCATCACTATGTATTTTGCGTCACAGTGACGTACAGAGGACATGGTAAAAGAAAAATGTGTCACACGAAAAATAAAATATTTCCGTTTGATGTTTTTTTTTATTAAATCAGAAAGAAAATTTTATGGAAATTTTCTGGTCTGGGGGCAAAATATGGTTGGGGAACATTTTTCTAGAATACCAATCGTCATTTACAAAAAAATAGGCATCAGGCATATGCTCTGTACTGTATCAGTGTATACTGTACACAGAATACAGGTGGCACCTTGCAAATTGACCTCCTGCTATTCAACCATCCTGCAATTTGATGGTTGAATTTGCTGGGAGGATAACTAGCAATTTGACCTCTTTCCCAAAATTCAACCTGTTTTAGCCTTCTTTCCAGTGTTTTTCTGCTGTTTGCCCTTGATTTTATAGAATGTCTCTCAATTTGACTGTTCTGAAATTTGATCATACTTTGGCAGTGGATTATGATTGAATTGCAGGGTACAATCTGTATATACTGGTATTTTATACAGTACATTACCAACAAATAAAAAGCACAATCATGAAATTTTTTTACATGACTGATTTCAACCCCAATTACTTTGCTAGAACAACCACAGTTCACAAGAAACTATTTTTATACTCTGGTTCAAGACGTACTTTTTTGTAGGGGTACATTTGTGCTGGATATTAATGATAATTAGCTGCTGGATCAGTGTTGGTTGAATGGGGAAGCCAATATACAATAAGGTCCAAACAATATGTTCATTAACTGCTGCAGGAAACTTTTAGTCAGTCAGAGTGTTTGTTAGCCAAGACCCCACTCTAATACTGTTTACATTCAGGATCATTACCTCTCCTATACTGCACACAACAGAGGTTCAGTGATTCCACCCAGGTTTACAGTACTTGGTCATCAAGATAAGAACAGTGATGTACCAGATTCGCGGGCATTTCGCGGCGCTATACGTAAGTAAACATGCTGCCGCAGCTGAGAATTAGGTTCCTCTAGGAAAAAAATAAAATTTATTCACACCTGCTCTTCTCTATCCCATTTCCGATGGCATTCCTTCCGAGTAAATCCGCCGCCTTCCATCGCTAACGCAACGCGCATTCCCGGCGCAGTTTCAATGCTTTCTTTCTTTTGCCTACGTAGCGCTTCACGTCCCGCGCGCGAGCCTTGGCACCACTGTGGCTTCTTCCCTGCTTTGGCCCCCTTTTTTTCCCGCCTATACGGATGGTTCCTCGAGAAGGACTCTAGTCATTGTGAGGAAGTCCGGAAAGTGGAAAGATGGCAATTCAAAATCTGAATACAGTACTGGGAAACACGCTAGCATCAGCTGTATGTTTGCACTTGCAGGTACTGTATGTCATGACGGCTGGTGTTGGTGGCATCTGCGGTGTGTTGGGCATGTGCCGGATGTGTTTACACTGTATTTAGTCTATGGTATATGCTTGATAGCATGCTCAATTTATTGAATGATGAAGCTGGGCTCAGGCATTGAATAACTTCACTGATTCAATGAAGAAGTTCAATTCTTTTTAAGGGCATTCAGGCAAATGCCACTTAAACTTAGCTGACATTCACCAATCAACAATGTCCAGTATAGGCTTATGCAATCAGTAAAAAATACAAAGCAACCTGGAATATTTTTATTTTATATTTTTAACCATCATCTCATTTATTTATTTTTCTATGATTAATCAATAATACAGGGCTATAACAAACTTAAACATTTTATATAGGTTTTGTACAGTTCAACTTGGCCAAGTCAAACCTCCATAAAATCAGCCTTTCAGTTAATAACTGACGAAATCCTTGAGGTCAAATATAAAATTTGAACAATACAGAAGATATGGCAACATCCACGACGTGTTACATCATGACACTGGCAGTCATAAAAAAATCATTATCCGACAAAAAGTTTAAAGAACTTCAACCCACCCAATGGATCTAACACTTTTTGAATTCTGTTGTAGCTACTGAATGTTCAAAGATGTAACCATATTTAATAAGTCTATATACTATATTTTCAGACTCTGCTTTTACCATGAAATTAAGTACAGTATCTTGAAATGAGTATTTCTGTCTGGCTTTGATATGCTGTCATGCTGTCCGTTGACATCCAGGATGATTACTGTATATTATATTAAATTTTAAAATTGCTCCTTGCTTGAAATTCAACACCTTGTTCTATAATTATGTTAAACTGACAATCTTTGTCGCAATCTTTCTTTGTTTCGAAAAAGTAAACAGTGGTGGACCACTTATTATCGATATCTCCCATTCGTTTCAGTCGGCAGCAGAGCTTACACCCAGCACGAATCCGTGTAGTCAATAAAAGAAACATTTATTCGTCCCGCTGCTCATTTGACGTTGCTGATCCTTTCTTCACCCACCATCCACATTAATTTGAAGGCGAATATTCAAGGGGAAATTCTTGTGTATAAGATTATGGATGTGTGCAGCTGCAAGTTCTTTTTCTCATGCCTCATGGCAATAATTTATTTCTGTTTTTATGATTCAATGAGTTTCCAACATTAGTATTCTCGAATCCCCAACCTGCAGACCAGCAAATTTCCACGGAATTTTTTTCTGACTGGCAAATTTCCTAAAAAAATTTCAGTGGACTGGGAAAGTTCCATGAAATTTTTGCAGACCCAAATAGTTTTACTTGAAAGGATTCATTGTTGCAGGTATTTAAAAGGCTGCTGATTTTTTGTTGCAAAAATCAAGAACCATAAAGCAGCTGTTGTGGAATTTTTCAAAAAATTAAAAGGTGGCCTCAAAGAAAGGTTTTCAGAATGAAAAATGAAAATAATTTATTTCAGGATGTGAAAATTTGTCTGAAGTATTATTAGGAGAAAAGTCAACTTTTATCTTTTCATTAGATAACTTCAACTGCCATTGTCTTTTGAATTTTCAAAATAAGGATAACAGACTCCAGTGCTACTTTTGATACATTTATTATCCTGGGAAAAAATTCTGATGGACCCCTAAGAAACTTCTGCAGACCAGTACCAGTCCACAGGCTATGGGTTGGGAAGCACTGTTCTGCTGTAAGAAAAAAAATTGGAATTTTCCCCAACACAGGCCTTGTTTCAAGAAGTGAAGGTTTTTCTTTTCAGTCCCCATGGACTTAACATTTTACAAAAATATCCATAATATTTGCAGAAGGGTTAAGCAGGCAATGCACTTAAAGTATAAAAGAAGTGCGCATCCAGCTCAGTGACCAATTGCCGATGTTCCGCCCTCCCCAAGACCCTACGCTCCCTGTTTTCAATGGCGGTGAAGGAGGAGGAGGAGGAAGAGGAGATGTTCCATGGAGTAACGGCGGGCGGTGGGATGAGTGGGGACTCCTGAGTCGGCGACACCGGGTCCGATTTTTTTTTCGTTGGAGGCCTCGTGTATCGCCGCCTCTCATCAAATATACGTGTACACTTCCAAGCAAGCGCAACGAAGAGGCATTATTTCGTGCGGGTTGCCTTGTTTCTGTCCTATCTATCTGACGACGATTATGATACCGTCCGTCGTCGCGAATACCTTGTTGCTCGTGTCCAATTTAGTCGTGGTTGACAGGCTAGACTCGTGCGACGTGTCGGGTGAGTACTTCAGTGGAAGATTCCCTCTTGCGCTTTTCTTTTTGTTTTTGCTTGACGATTCGTGGAGACTCTTGTACTGTAGTGTGCATCAGACATGAAGCCTTCGAAGTGCGTCTGTGATGTGGGAAACCGACTTGGCTATTATCAGTCGGAAATTTTCGTTTACACCTGACGGAAAAGAGCGTGTGGTTAAGGTTTCTGTTCCATTCCAGCGCCGGCATTTTCCGGTGCTCCTTTGACCAGCATATGAAAGATGCGCATTGTTCGAAAATGAGTCGTTGACGTCGCACATTTTTTCGAAGTTTAAAAAAGGATGTTTCCCTTTGGTTCTCGTTATTTTTGTGAAGCACACACTCCGAAGGGAAACCATCGAAAAATATGAACCAACGACGGAATTTTCGAGTGGATGTGGGGAAGTTATTCGACGTGCACTTCTGTGATTCTTTCGAAGAATTGCTCATCCGTTTTTCGAGGAACTCTGCTTATTCAAAAACAGTATTCAATGTTGAAATTCATTATTTTCCCGACGTGAAAGTATGTTCAAAAACACCGTGAAGAAGCAAATTTAAAAACAAAAATAAAATCTTGAAAAAAGTGCTGTGTGAGTCAAGTGCAAGTGCTGATTCGGAGTATTACTTTCGATGTTGAGCAAATCTGACTAGAATGATTTCTGACTCAAATTTACCTCTTGTTATATACTGTAGTAGATAAAAAATATATTCCCGGCATGATTCAGACGCATCTATTTCAGGAATTTTACGAATCCGTTCTCATAGCATGCTGGAAATGATTTGCTATTTCGTATATTCCACCTCGTCGCAGCACAGGAGTATAGACTTGGACACTTTTTTTTTTAATTGAAAATTATATTTCCATTGCGTGCTTCCGATGGTATAAAATGCAGTGAAATTACTCGTACTTCAGATGATAAATTATTTGTTGCTTCTTATTCCTAGCTGCGATCGGGTCGAATAAAGGGATCTTCGAGATTTTCCCGGGAATACCGTTCATTTGTATCTTTTTATTGGGTTTTCTTGGCCGAAGGATTATTGTACTTTGACAAAAGTCTGCTTTCTGATATAATTATAATTATACAATACTTTGTAGAAAATAATGCAATTAATGTTTCAAACATCCCTACTTTCATATTTTCTTCGCGTAAGACGCGTGGGAATATTTTCTTGAATTAAATCTGCTTCTTTTTCATTGATCTGAATTCTTCTAAATTGCTGGACAACGTTTCTAGGATACATAGGTGATCTACAATTTCAAAGTTTTTTTGATATCCAATACAGGTCAAGATAAAGCGTTCAAAGACCATGGTCTACCCAATGCGAAAAGTCTTTTTTTTTTTTTTTTTTACGATGAAGCCCTTAAATTTTTCTGTTCGAAAGAAAAATGTCTGGCAATGTATCAGTTGAATTTTTAGGGGTCGATACTTCTTGATATGATAAAACAGTTCTATGCAGTACGAAAGCAATACAGAAACGATTTCAGACGAGAAGAATTCGTTCTTTGCATTTCTAGATTCCTCATGCTGCTGGTACAGTACATGTTCTGAAATGAGCTGCTTTGTTTTATATTTAACATGACTTTTTTCTCTACGGATTTGCAGATTATCTTCTCTTAATCTAAACCTTGTTATGTCATTGTCATCGTGTTAAACTAATTATTTTTCAAAGAGGGAAAGCAATCATGCATGCATGGGAAGAGCAAAGAACGTGCAGTGTCAAAATGTGTGACGCACGTTCCCAGAAATAATTTTAAAATTTGAGAACCAATTTACTGTACTCCTGCTGGAATGAAAAAAAAACTCAAAGTGTTGTAATTTAGTTCCTTCGTCTGATAATGGGATTCCGATTGGACTATGAATTGTTGATGCTGTAATTGTGAGACACCATCGGGTTCTTCAACTCGTGTGCTTGCTCTCTTTGTTGAAATGATTTCCGCCCACCATTGCCATACTTCAAAGAGAAACTAAAAAATGAATAGGTTCTCGGTCGTTGACCAAGTTGGAGTGCGTGAGAATGTACTGTACTCTTTTTTCGCCCCAAGCCAAGGCGAAGAGGCGGTTTTCTGCTGAGGAACTTCTTGACCACTTGAGGGGAAGGAAAAGAACACCCAATTATTGCCGTGACCGGATGCCCGTGAAAAAGAGTTTCCCTGGTTGGTTGGGTTTTTGGTTGGGGCATCGACAACGGCCCACCGCGTTACCCCGGCTGGGTTAAAAAATAAAAAATAAAATCAACCTTTGGACCATTGAAGGAGTGGCTGTTTGTTTGGAGCGAGCTGTGCAAGCAACTCTCTCTCACTCTACAACGATTTTCTCTTAATAAAATTTTTTTTTTATTCCCATACCCGTTCTTGCCAGCAAAATGCTCTGTACAGTAAAATTCAATTTTTCTGGTCCCCTGAATTTTGTTGTGGGAGAGAGAGAGAGAGAGAGAGAGAGAGAGAGAGAGAGAGTTTACCTGTAATGGATCTCCCTGAGTGGAATTCAGAGAAACCCAAAAAATATAGACTTGCTGTACAGGTTATGCCCTGCAATTCAACACTCATTTGTTCCTGGGTAAGGGTCAAATTGCAAAGTGGTCAAATTGTGAGACAATGTCAAATTCAATGTTTTCTACATTGAATTTGACACTTTGAGTCTCTCTGCAGGTCAAATTGTGGAGCAAGAGGTCAAATTGTGAGTCAATGTCCCAGCAAATTTGATTGTCAAATTGTGGAATGGTTCAATTGTGGGACATGAAATTGCAAGTTACCACCTGTACTGACAAGTTTCCTACATTGAGACTCAAATGACATTGTGGCTATACTGCAAGAACTTAAAAAAATGATTTGATATGAGTGTTACATTTTGCCATGAGATTTTCCCCAGTAAGATTAAACTGTAGTAGCTTTATTGCTGTGTCTACCAGAAGAATTAAACTTTTTGACCAAAATTATTTTTGTACTCAACGACCACATGCCCTCAAGTAAGTCATGTGCCAGGGGTTTTCAGTCAATGAAAAAGAATCTATCCCAAGTAAGATGCACACTCCATCTTTAGTGACTTTTAAACTGTAAGTTTTCAAAACTACTGTAATTAAACACTCTGACAAAATGAGATGCATTCGCTACGCGGAGATTAGCAAGACTGTGTAGATTTGTAGGAATTCGATATGGACGTCGTAAGAATTCCACGCTGGAATTCCAACGTGGAATTCCAGCGTGTCGGATGTAAAAAGAGGGCTAGCGCCCTCTGTCCCTAACAATTGTGGCTATACTGCAAGAACTTAAAAAAATGATTTGATATGAGTGTTACATTTTTCCATGAGATTTTCCCCCAGTAAGATTAAACTGTAGTAGCTTTATTGCTGTGTCTACCAGAAGAATTAAACTTTTTGACAAAAATTATTTTTGTACTCAAGTTGGTGTACGGGAGTTCATTCAGTACACGGTCCCCAAAAGTCAGTTACTTTTTCTTAGATAGGGTTCATTCTACGTGTGAGGTAGAAATCACTGAAAATTTGACATTCAAAAGTTTTGATGACATTAAGCACCAAAATTTGGATGTAGGCATGCTTTGCATCAGAATTCAACTAGCTTTCAATTATTTCACTAACATTAAGTGTTTCTATTGAAATAAGTCTACAATTTTCAATTTGAATTGATTATAATGTACAACTAGACTTTTAAAACTTTCAACAATTTATACCCGTCTATGACACGCACCCCCTTTCCCCCTCTCAATTTCAAGAAAAAGGTGCACGTGGTACTTGAGTAAATACCGTAGTCAAAACACATATTTAGTACCCCAGCCTAAATATGACCAATATTTGAAATAAAATTAGCTAGGATCCGTTCAGAAAGCAAGAATATCCATGAGCTGGAGTGCATGAACATGAAGGATATATACGTAATGTGCATGAATTACGCATTGCGAGCAAGATGTGGTCAAAAAAAGGGATTTTTTTTAAAGGGCAAGGACGGGGTCATTGACCTTGGATTGCTGTGATGTAACCTTTAGTCGTTGTGTGAAATATCTTTTCTTTTTAATTTATTTCTTCTTGTTCTAATGGGGTGTAGACACGGAACTTATGTTTCATGTTCTTCCACGAGAATTAGTAACAATAAGATAAGTACAGTATACCGAGCCAGTATTTCATCCGAAATTTTGATCGTAGAATGTTGAAAATTTCATAAAATCAGCATGAAGTAATGAATGGAACAAAAATTTCACGCGTGCATTACAATTGGAATTTTTTATCCATTTATTGGACGAATTCTTGGTGCACCTTGGTAATTGACGTAAGTCTTAGTGCGTTAAAAAATTCGTTACAATAGGAGCTACTTTGTTTGCGGAAACAGATAGCTTCTCGTGTTCTTAAAACTGATTCAAAAGTAGAATAATCTTTTCACATTGATGATGCTATATCCACGTGGAAAGGTTCGATGGACGAGAGCTTAAAAAAATCGCATTTTGGTTTAAAATAAATGAAGTTAATCACTAACCATAATTGAATGTGGCTGAGACTCGAAGAAAAAAGTATGCTATGACTAAATCGCCATCGACAGAATGATTAAAAAAAAAGTGGAGAGTACGTGAGGAAATACAGTACTAGGACAATTAGTCAAGAAGACATTTGTTCACTTGAGATTCATCACAATTACCGAAAAATAATTGAATGACATAAGCTGATGAATTTCGCATCTCATCGATATGACCTGAATTTTGGGCGTCACTGTGTCGTCAACAGCTGAAAAAGACGGATATAGTACAATTTTGAAATGAAGAAAATATTATTCAAGTAAGAATAAGTGGTGTTCATGCAAATCGGCGAATATGCAACGGAAAATAGAAATGCATATCGGTCTTGAAAAACAGCACCGAAATTACCACGAATGTTCGACCTGATGCACAATTCGGAAAATTTTGAATCATGTGAGGTTAATTGGATTTGCGAATTATTCGAAGTGAATTATGGTAAACAGTAGATTTCGTGCGTGTGGTTCGTTGTCTGAAGCACACAAATACTGTACTCTCCTATGATCATATCCTCGCTTTCATGGTCATGTTAGGTACTGTAAATATTTTTTCACGATTTTGATGAATCCTTACATCTGATGCATCAAATGTACAGACCATGAAATATTGTACTTGTTCCTATTGTAGTCAAAGTTTTTAATGAAAATCCGTTTCAATGGATTTGTAAAAACCGGGCTTGTACATCTGAGTAATTGTGTTGCTGCCGCATCATAGAAATATCATTGAATAGGCAATGAATCGAAATTAATATGTAACTTCCGTAGTCTTGAAACAAATAATCAACGACTTGTATGTGTTGGAATTATTTGTTTTTGTGTGCCGTGAGTGAGAATAACTGCCGAGGTGTTTTAAAATGACGAAAACTGAAACGCTCGAGCCTCAAGTACATGGCTGACCTTGTCCTCTAAATGTTTTAGTCAGGAAGTCTGATTGAAAATACGGGTTCAGAATAAAACACGCCCGGAATTATATGTTATTCATTGCAGTGTCACGCAAGTTGAAACATGTTTCGTACATTGTTTGAACTTCAACTTCAGGAGAGTCAGGATTCCAGGAACGTGTTTGAACGTGTCAACTTCTTTGTTTTTTCAGATCTCAGCTCAAGTAACCACACGTATCCCTGCTACATTAGTCCAGGATCGAGTTTGAGGAATATTCCTGCAGCACCAGGAGAAATAACTGATGAAAATGAGGTACACTTACCGTGTCGATCTCTGCTGTATGGATATTCATTTTTTTGTAATTTTTCAAATTTTTATTGAAGATTGAAGAGCAGTTGGACAGCATGGCTCTGCAGTTTTTACAACAAGCCAAGGATAATCAAAGGCAGGTTGTTGATTTGATCGAGTCAGGAGGCTGGGAGAAGACCCAGATCCGAGACGGAATCAAGCTGAGGCGGCTTTTTCATACCGTCCACAGACGCTATGTTTACCTAACCGAGGTGCCTTCTGTTTATTTGACAATTACTATGCAGTTTTTCCTCATGAATCCCCGTGAGATTGAAAAAAGATTCCCCCTGCTATTTACGCTCACTGTGGCATGGCTTTGAAATTTTGCGGAATGATAATTTCGACGAGTTCAGCTGGCACAGCGTCAGCGTTCGTGGCGGGACTTAGAGCGACATCTACGTTACGTTTTTCAGCTTGAAGTTAGCATAGAAATCAAGACATGCTTCCAGGTGACAATCGAAAATAGCGAGACGCAGCACGAGTGGAATCCTGGGATGAAGCAAGTGAAAACCATACACGTGAGGCATCCGAGTTTTGAAATAACCCTATTATTTTTCGCACAGAATGAGTAATTGTGCAAATTTTTCTTTCGCTTTTGCAGAAGATCAACGAGAACACGGTTTTGACGCATCAGGTGACAAGTCCTGAATTGGCCGGCTTGATAAGCCCCAGGGAAATGTTGCTGCTCACTCAGTGGTCTCTGCTCAATGATTCCTCGTACCTCATTTCGTATGCCAGTACCGAGTGGCCGGAATTTAAGCCAAATTATGACTATGTCTTGTGAGTCTTACGTTCTTATCGTGTGTTGGATTTTCCTCGCATGCGGGATTGACTTACAGTTCTTGGCCGTCTACTTTTCTAGCAACTCCTGTACAGAATTTAAATTTTCAAAGTTTCTGTCCCGATGAACTCTCTTTATTGTCAAATTCCGCGTTGGAGATCCTAAACTTATACAGCATTGAAAATAATTTGTTGGACCGCTAAAAACTGGCCGTCCTTCAAAACGTTCTCATTTTTTTTCGCGCATGGTCTTTAGTTGCAACAGCATTTCTTTAACTAAAAAAGTTTACGATCAGGAAGCATAGAAATTCTTTTTTAAATTTCGGTGTACGTGTAGAATTTTAAATGAAAGTTGGAATCGATTTCGGAGAAAATATTTCAAGGACTCCTAACATATTGGTCTACCAGTATACTGTATCTCAGCAAAGACCGAATGAAAATAATGCTCGTCCGGAAAACAGATAAGGACTTTCCTTCTTAACTTTTCCTTCAATTTTAATTCCATTTATGCGGACAATCATAATTAATTCGTCACCACTTTCCGGATTAAATGTTACTGATAAAGTTGTATTTTCAAGCTATGTAAACATTCTGATAATCCTGAAGAAGAATTTTTAGGCCTCGAAGAACTTGACTGCTCATTTATATTTTCTTTCTGTTTGTTTGACAAAATGCCAGGGCCTACAATGGACCAAGTGGGTTTTTGTTCGTGCCCCTTGCTGGAAATAGAACCCGGGTGTTGTGGCTGTTCAATGCGGACCTCAAGTACAATAGCGTGCCTTCAAGCATCATCAACGCACTCGCTCCCAGTGCGGTCATCAACTACATGAAACACTGGAGACAATTTCTCCTCTCTCATTTACCCTCTTGAGCACATTTGAAAAGGAAGAATCTCCCCCTGCCCCATCATTCTTGGCTCGCGTCGGATTTTTGCATTAATTTCTCGACGACGGAAAGGACATTTTCTTGAGGCATTCAGCCCTTTTCTTGGGGGGAAAAAAATATCAGGGATTTCTTTCGAGCTTTGCGCACCCGATTCCGAAATAATGCTTTGATATTTTGCGGACTGACGAATAACGTTCCTTGTGTGACGAAAAGACCCTCATGGTTTTCTAATTTTTTGGCAACAAAAGAGTTCATATATCCCAACGTATGTGAGCCCTGGACGAAAACCATTGAGTTTTTTTCGATGTTTGGTTACTTTTGGTTGATAATTATCGATTCTTTGAACACGAGGGAAGGTAAAAATTTTGTTTGAAAGTCTGGTCTGTGAATGGGCGAATAATGCGCCTATGAACTCAACGTGTGCTTCTGATGGTGGCTAAATGGACAAAATGTATTCAAGAGTACTTGGTGTCTTTAATTTTGTAGCATGTTGGGTTTTACTTGTTCACGTACTGCAATTTCTGTCGTATATTTCATTTGCTGTTGACAAAAAAGAAATGCCGTGTTTACCCAAGTACCACATGCACCTTTCCCGAAAAATGGAGCGCAAAAAGTGCTGTGCATTTCATGTATGAAAGCATGCGTAAGATTTTTCTGGAAATTTCGCGAGTTTCTGTTGCACAAATAATTTTACAAATTCATTAAAATTCAAAGAAATAATTTTTAGGGACCGGAAAATGTAAACATATACCTTTTGAGGCGTCAAAAGAAACTGGACGATGAAAAAGTGGCATCGAAACAAATTTAGCACCACATTACTGCAAAGTATTGCATTCGAATATTATCAGTCAAAATTTAAAATTTTAGACTGTATTTCCTAAAAGAAATGAATATTTGTGTCACAGAAAACTGTTGCCTTTCTCATGCTTGAATTGAATTTTTTTTCAAATTGTTTGTCTAAAAAATTAAGTTTTACTTTTATTATGAGAAAAATATGGAAATTGGGATCTGATGTACCAAAGATCCTCTCTTCTATCTCTTCTCAACCTTTTGAAACTGTGTTTACATTTGTGTACTTTTTTTTTGCACGAATAAATTTAACTTGACGTTCCCGTGGCCAACGTGCCACATAGTGTGAACACATATACAACAAACGCAAAATTCCTGGGATCTGAAGTTCCAAAAATTAATGTATTCTTCGCGACTATGTTTGCCTTTGTGTTATAGAGTTCCCAATTAATCGCCTTTGAAATCCTCTGGTCTCCCTTTTTCTTCCCTTTTCCCAGATGACAAACTGGATGCAATGCAAGATAATGGATAAAATCAACATCTGGTTCATTTCAGCAACAGACTCATTTGCTAACCGGATGGGACGCGGGTGTTTGTCCCCAACTCAAGGGAATTCATTGGACAACATCATGGATTTCCTCGCATCGTCGTATCTCATCGTATCCCTGGGTTGCATCTACTGTATATATGACACACACACACATCATGCATACACACACTGGGCGAAAAGTTTGCGAAAGTGAACTGCAGCAATTTTCTTCCCCCCCCCCTCCTCGGTCTCCTTTAGCTTCCACTATAGTGACTATGCTATATACAACGACGACGGGGGTCGGGATATTCGTATATACAGGGAAGCTCCGGGTGTCCATTTATCAAATCACGACACGGCTGACCTGCCTCAGTGTCGAACTTTTCCTTCTTCCTCTTGGCCTCGCTGAACTTCTTCTTCTCGGTCTATACTTTTCTTTTTCTTCTTCTTTCGGCTTCTTCGCTGTCGTCATTTCGTCGTCAACAGCCCTGGCGCACGGACACTATGTGGATAATGGATCGCAAATTGATATCGAGCGGGAGTCTGAATAAGGGAAGCGGAAGGGGAAAAAAGCGTTGCTTTCTTTTCTTGTGTTGGGTGGGGGTTTGTGTGACTGCTGGGGTGATAATGCCGGTGTAGCGGGGGTTGCATCCATCATTCCACTGACGGCTATGACGATGCTTTGAGACTGTTTTGTGCCTCTGCTGCGTGTCGGACTTATATTCTTTTTTTTTTCTTCTTTGTGTAAGGAGTCGTCTCAAATGTGAGGGGTAATCGACTTTGGAACACTGTTCACTTTATGCAGTTGAACCTTGATAACTGAGAACTTCCCAAGTCAAATACTTCCTTCTATGTCAAAAAGTTGTCAAGTCCCTGTTTGCATTCCCTTGGTAACAATGCATTGGATGATTAACCCATGGGCGGTGCTGCCAACATTTATTTGCACAATTTTTTGACACAGCTAAAAAAATAAAATGCCTAGCATGATTAAAAGAGATGAATTCCAGAAAAATTGAGAAATTTTTCCACTTTCCTGCAGAAAAATGTTTCTAAATAATTTAATCACTCCTGAGTGGCATTTTTTCCACATTCCTGCCACAGGATTAGCATTAAGGAATTTCAAAAACAGTTTATTTACTTCCCAGATTTTTTCAGACTTTGGCTACTCAAAATAAAATGCGCAAGTGTGCAAAAATGTTCCTGGCACCATTATGCAATGGAATTTGACAAACCAATGTTCAAGGGTTAACCCTTCCCCCTCAATAACTCAGAGGCTTTACCCCTCAAACCTCTGTAACTTGAATTTTCTGGAAACCTTTTGGCTATCATTTTATTGGCACAGGAAAGAGAAAATGAAAAAATGTCCTGATGGGATTTGAAATAAAGGGCATGAAAGACTAATTGGGCAAATGCACCCTTGTCTGTATATACAAGTTCACCATCCTGTCAATTCATTCAAGAAGCGATTTAAAGCCAAGATTAGCACCAATTAAAGTTTCCTGTAATTATTTTTTCTTTGCCCCTAACAAAATGCTTATTTTCTTAACTGCTGGAAATCTCCCTAACTCAAAAATTGTTTATGACCCCTTGAAGTTCAATGCAAAGAGGTTTGACTGTGTATTGAAAAAAGTGGAAAGTCAAATATGATGATAGCTTTAAAAAATGCTGTTTACATTGGCAAATGCAGTTTACAGGTTGCGCTGAGGAGAAAGTAGGATCATCAGAACTGAATGCATCACATCCCGAATTTATTTTTCTCTTAGAATGATCATGCAATTGCAGCAGTACTTGATAAGTCAAACTTGATTGTCTTTTGTGGAGTTCTGCGATTGGCAAGGAAAGTGAAAGTCAAATAAAATGTGTCAGCATGGAGTGCAATAATTTAGGGAAGGGGAGTCTGTTAAAGCCTAGGCACCTTTTCCTGGTTTTAGTCTCTTTCACGTTATTAATTTTTATCTGAATTGACAAAATAAATTATTTCAGGTTTCTACACTTCGAGCATCAAGATTTGCTCCGAGATTAAAGTTTGCTATGCCTGAATCATCTGAAAAAGGAAGAAGCATAACAAAATCTACCAATAATTATCTACAGAAAACATATCTGAACATTACAATATACATTTTTAAATGGCGGAGCAAGTTTATTGGAACAGTATCATCCGAGAATCGTCAGTATAAAAATAATTTCAAACTATTCCAAACCGAAAACTCCGCAAGAAAAAACAGCTAAGTCGTTTATATCGAAGTCCACGTGGAATAAAGCACAGAAACTCAGTACATTATCGCAATTTTCCTGAAAATGAAGAATAATTGGAAAATCTTTAAATTTTCACTCGGAAAAAAATTCCTAATAGATCATGATTTTATGAAAGACTGTCGGTATATAACCTGGCAAGTTTCTTGATTCTTGTCACAATATTGCTCGAGTATATACCTTCAGTATAGAAATTCCACAATTTTCGAAGCAAAAATCCCCAGGAAAAAAAAAAACAGCTCATGCTTAAATTAACGCAAAATGAAGCATGAGAATTCATGGAATTATCTTGATTTTTCTGATAAACGATGAACAATTGGAAAATCTTCGAATCGTCACTTGAAAAATATATCTGAATACTGTAGTTGCTAAATTTTTTAAAGACTGCTATAGTGACCAAGCGAGTTTCTTGAGTGGTATGTGGTGGAATAAGTAGACAACTTACTGTACACCGCCATGCACATCAAATCATTCAAAACAATCTACAATATTCATATTGGACTGCTGTTAGATGGCAGCCATGTTGATTGCATACTTGAGATTTTAGTCTGTGCATTTCAAGAGTCTCAACCAATCAGGTGCTGCTACAGCAGCACAAATTCTCAGGGAGAAAAATTCCTAGACAGTCTGTCTCCAAGTTTTAAGCCATTAACATCAATCTGTGATTCTCTGTGAAATCACCTGTATTTTGTGAAACTCATTTTATCTTTTGGTGGAAAAGTGAAATACATTTGTCTGTTTATCTCTGTGGGATTTCCTAATATCAAATCCCCAGCTGCTCCCCACAGCTGAACGATGTTTTTCATTTTTGGAATTGATCATTTTCTTGCCTCCTTTTGTAATCTTCCATTCATCCAAGTATCATCAGCGCAGAATATTTTCAAACTTTTCCAAGCCAAAAATAAAAATACCGAGTACGGTATATAGGCCCATATAGACGTTTATATATATATATATTTCCACATGGAATGAAGCATAATAATTCGAGGAATTCTTTTATTTTCCTCTGCACGGATGCGGAAAGCTGAGATAGGTCGGGTTTCTGGAACGATCTTGCTGGCAATATCCTCAGCTGAATATTTTACCATTGCTGGCGATTCCTCCAGCAGATGTGGAACCAATCCCAGGAACATTGGTATTCTTGCTGCCATGGAACATCCCATTGCAGGAAGAAAAGAAACGACAAGAAAAAAAACCGTAATCTTAATCAATTCTTCTCTCTCTTTCAAATACATCACTTGCAAAACAATGGCTTAGATATCGGTTCATGTTTTCTACATCGACGTCGACACATTGTTATTCATTGCCTGTTTTTATTCCACCCATCGCCAGAGTTCGGATTAAATGGGCGACTTTTTTTTTTGTATTTGCTATTTTTGGGTCTTTCCCTCAGGGATTCGGAGTAGACACATAAACGGTTGTCCAGAACGAAGGAATAAAACATTTTCTATAGACCTGCTGGTGCTCATGCATAAATGTCTGGTTAATCGATTATTCCGTCCCGGTTATGTGACCGGAAATTGCAATTCCGACATTCGGCGCGATTTTTCTTTCGGCGAGTTCTCCCTTTTCCCGACGCAGGTTTATTTTTAATGTTTTTTTAAATAAGTAAATCTGCTGCTGAGCTGAAGCTTGTTATTGTTCTCTGTTCGCGTGCATCAAATTTGGGGAACAAACACAAATGCGTATACGCGAGAAATTATCATAGATATTCAGAAAAAAATGAGCCCAATTTTGATGTAAGTGCGGATTTAGTCGCAGAAGTTGAGTAATTTATAATAGAATACAATATTCAAATACATGTCGAACACTTCTCATTTTCACTCTGAATTTGCGTGTCAGATGAGTGACGAATCCAAACTTTTGGAAACAAATTAAATCTTAAATAAATTC